TGTGAAAAAAAAAAAAAATAACATTAAATTTATCATAACAATGCTGTAATAGCTTCCAGTACAGCAACTTTGAACGGAGATGATCGGACACATGAGAAGAAAAAAGTATGTTTATTTGATTATTCTGTTACACAATTCTTAGCATATCTAGAAGCTAAAAAAATAATACTATAAAATATAGAAAAAGAAGCATAAACATGATAGTGATTATGATGTAGAGAAAAAAAGAAAACATAAACATGATAAAGAACATAAAAGAAGTTCTGCTGATGGAGAATACAAAAAGAAAAAGCGAAAAAAAGAAGTTGGTATTAACAATGATGCGGCTTATTCGAATCTTTCCTTGAGTACGACCGCATAATTAATCAATAATGACATAATTACATAGGGAAAAGAAAGGTATAATTAAGATCAACGCTTTCTAGGTTTGTTTATTTCATAAATGATTTTACATTGATTTCTCAATTTTATTAACAAACAGGTAATAATAGAATCTATAATGTCTTATCCGTTTATTTTTTGTTATCATTTCAGAAAATATACTTTTTTCTTTTTTTGTACATATACATTTTTTTTTTAATTTTAATAACATTTTAGATAATAATAAAAAAAAAAGAGAAAAATTTTCAAAAATTACATGCTATTGATCGAGAAAACTATATATATATTTATATATTATATTTGTATATTTTTATATTTTATATCTTTATATATATTTGTGTATATTTTATATATATATTTATATAAATTTTATATTTTTATATATTATATATATTTATTATGTTTATTATACATCTGCTACTGCACCGTGCATTGATTATTCTTACCATCTAAAAATTCAACCAATTGCAAATTTTGTGCAACATAGTAATCATGTTCTATCGCCAACTCTTCTTCAACGATGCCCGGATGTAAACGTTGCAATTCATAAAAAAGTAAATAACCATGTCGACTAAATTCGCTAAAAAGTAAAGTCATGTCTTGTATTGTGCTAAACTCTTTTACATGTTCACCTATATTAAATATATGAAGGATATCGATAATGATATCAATAATCAAATTTATAACAATCACATCATACTATTTATTTAACTACGCTCACCATCTAAATCATCAAGCCGATACCATCGATCTTGTTCCTATATTAAAAAAAAAAGAAAAAGGGTTGGTATAAAAAAAAAAATCTCTTTCTCTTACTACCTCCCGTTCCCTAGTGGTTTATACATACATCGTCTAACGTATAACCTTTATAATGTCCATGTGTGGGTGTATCTCCATAATGGCATACAACTGACCGTAGTTTTAAACGATATTGAATGTCAACGCCACAATGACATTGTTCGTCAGCTGCATCTGAACTTACAAAGGAATTAAAATTTACTGATGGAGGAATATATATTTTCTTCTTTATTCGAAATGGTTGCATTTTGTCATTGTAACCATATCGTTTCAGTACCAATGGTAAAATCAGATTATTGGTTGGAAAATGTGATTCAATTGCATTTGTTCTTTCACCTATGTAAATAATTTTATCATCAATTTTATATTTTAATCTATCAAATTTTTTCGGGCTAGCTTAAGTTGTATTTACCTTGTTCATTACTTGCTGAATAAAATGGTAAAAGCTTTAGCACTTGCCATGCTGAAACTGGAATTTCGGTTTGCTCAGTATCATCTGCTGAAAATCGTTTTATTCCGGATACGACATTATCATGAAAATGTGTTATTAAAACTTCTTCCAAAGAAACTGGCGTTTCGTCAAGTGGATCACCCGGTATAGCTACTTGTATCAAACGTTCAGTTATAACTCGCTCATCATTTGGATCTTTAGTTCCTCCGTGAAATAAATGAATTCCAAGTGGAAGGTATGGAAGTTCATAAAGACATGATAGAAATAAAAATAATTCACTAGCATCCTCTTGAGTTGGGTTTCCATTTTCATCTTTACCAATCCATCCACAATCAAACAAACATTCGCGTAATTGCTATCAAAATATTAACGACGTCGTCATGTTTTTTAACATTTCATTGTTATACAATTGTTTTGTTTGTCAACTTTTTTTTCTCTTACCTTAACCATATAAGCACTTATATATTTTCCTTGTCGAAGTCGATTCACAAATAATCGTAAATTTGTCTGTAAACTTCTCACATTTATTCCTTCAGGTTGAATAAAAAGTAAACCGTCAAAAGACCGTGTTCTTGCAAACATTGCAAACATTAAACTGTCTGTAAATGATTATTTTAATTTATTTTGATTTGTCAATTAATTGATTTAATAATGATTCATTTTTTTTCTTTACCTATATAACAACTAGTAAATCGATCATTTTCAGATCCAAGCATTATTATATCCTTTTGAATATCTGATACTAAACCATCTTCAGCTTCTATTAAATCTGTACAATAATCCGCTACTTCCATTACATTCCAAGAATTTTTCTTCAATAAATTTTCTAGTTGTAAAGTATCTAAAGGATGACCTAACTCCTCTAAATAAGTACGAAGTTGATCTATTTTACTTTCTTGTTCTGTGACCGTAAATTCGACAAGTTGGGTTGAATCCTTTCCAGAATTAGGAAAAAAGTAATTACTAATGCTGTCCTTAATTCTACTTACTGGTGAACGTGTACGTTTTATAGGAGACACTCTCCCTTCAACATTAAGTTCTGAAACCTCCATAATAGAAAAATAAAACACGCAAACTGCAAACTTTGAAATAGAAGCGTTCAATTTATTTATTTATATATCGCATCGGATTTATTACTTACGAACTTGGTGTTTCTTTTTTAGGCTTAATTCAGGTTGCTTTAAATTAAAACAGGTCATGTTACACTCATGTTTAAAAACTTTCAATGATTTGTTTGTTATTATCGTTATATCCCTAAATAAATGCCCTATAAATATATAATATATATATATATGTATATATGTTCTATTTACAAATTTACTACAGTACTATAAATACATTCTCCATTTTTTATTTTAATACTAATGCATGTGCATACGTTTGAAGTTACTGAATATTTTATCGTTATAAGATTTTTGGTTCTACTTTGCGATTACAAGATTATTTATTTATCGAACCGTTACCATTATTATTATTCTTTTTTAAATGATTTTTACGTATTACGAGTGTCATCTTTTTTTTATTCAATTATTTAAATTATATAAGTCTTTGTTACCTAGTTTCATTGTACTATATATATACAGTATTAAGAGAATTGCCAGAAATGACGTAATATAAAAAGATGGTGGCATACATATTTCTGCATGCGAAGAAAATAAGCAAGACGACGCAGTGCATTAAAAAATACAGTATGTATTAAAAATTTTGTTTAATTGCGACTACTGCATTGTTTAACCATATTTTACGTACGTACGTAGCATTAGCCGTTTAATATCTTGCTAAAATTAATATATATATTATCAAATATTCTCAGGGCTTTGGAGACTATCGTAATAAATCATTGTATATATATATATACAGTGGCGATCATAAGTAATGGAGCAAAAAAAAAATTTTGCTTAGATCGCATTATTTCGAGCAATTCGCAACGT